CCCAGAAGGTCTGCAAAGGAAAAATCCACATAAATAATGCAGCATATTTGTGCATGCTTCTTGCTTCTGCACTTTTCCATTGGAAGGCTGTTAAATGTTTGAAATGCTTTGCATGAAATCAAGCATCCCATGAGAGAAACCTCATCAGACTCGCTTTCCTGTCTTCTGAACATGAGTTAAATGCACATCTATTTTGGCAAAGATTTGCTATCGCACCAAGCCCAGACGTGTGTATCTAAGGGCCCATTCTGCAAGGCGCTGAAGTGGTGCTTGACTCGGAGTTCCTGCTTAAGTCCACACATGCCAAGTGCTTTCTTGAAGCAGGGCCAAAGCGTTCTCACTATTCTCTCATCTTAAAATTCATTGGCATAAAGTCCTCAGCACTCACATCTAATCCCTTACAAAGTGTTACGTTTTAATGGGTTAGATTGAATTCACTTGTCCTGGTCTCAGCCGTAAGCGAATAGCTGATCAAATATGTGATGGATTCACAATTTGCGGCGACACAAAATCACTGGTAGAACCTGATCTGGGCAGTTCAAATGCTGCATTGACCCATGTTTGTTCAAGGCCATCATTACAACGAGAATATTTTCAAAGTCTCAAAATGGGAATGCGAGCAGCGTTTCTCTTTTCCCTGTGTTGGCCTCCTGGGCCTGCCCTTCTTTCTTCATGCAGCGCACAGTCAACCTGTGGAACTCCTTGCCAAAGGATGTTGTGAAGACTAGGACTTGAACAAGATTCAAAAAAGAACTAGATAAATTCATGGAGGTTAGGTCCACCGATACTTATTAGCCAGGATGGGTAGCAATGGTGTCCTTAGCCTCTGTTTGTCAGAAGCTGGGGATGGGTGACGGGAGGGATCACTGGATGATTCTCTGTTCTGTCCACTCCCTCTGGGGCATCTGGCATTGGCCGCTGTCGGCAGACAGGACACTGGGCTGGATGAACCTTTGGTCTGACCCAGTCTGGCCGTTCTTATGTTCTTACTCCTTGGTCTCTTCCAGCCCTAGGAGTCTGGGAAGCACCTTCTGTGGGGTGGAGGGATCGCTGGATGCGAGTGCAGTGGGATGGCCCAGACCCTAATGTAACCACCTGGCTTGTTTTTCAGAGGTGTTGGGGACAGGCGCGCGCGGCGTGGCGGGTGGAAGGGAGGCCCCGCCTGTCATGTGCACAGCTCCCTCACTCCCCTAATCCAGGGCTTCCTCCTGAAGCACGCTCAGCACTTGGCTTCCAACCCGGCAGGTGCTTCGTGTCGCCAGCTGTAGTGGGACCGTGGCCGGACCAAAGTGCTTTGCTAGGTCGGCTCAGTGCAGCGCCTTGCAGCCGGAGCCATCGTGGGAGGGGGTGCAGAGGGACAGAGCCGGGTCCGAAGGGACCATCACGCTCCAGGGCTCCTCGGGGCAGAATTTTGGGTGGCCTCAAGGTGCAGTAACCCCCTCTTGTGGGTGGCTGCCCTCACACTTCCCCCAAAGTCCTCAGTTGTCGTTCCCTCTAACGCTTCAACCTGCATGTTCCCACGGACGGAGCCGCACCATGGCCTGACTGCTAGTCCCCCCTTCCACCATCCCTGCCTCACTTTACCCAGCCCGGGTAAGAGGGCTGGAGCCTGAAGTCCTGTGCCCCAAGCCTGCCACCCCAGGGCTGCACCCCACAGGCCCTGCTCCTGGGAAGGGGGGAAATCTCTGGGTACCTGCTCGCCCGGCATCGTGCTCCGAGGGAGGCAGGGCCCAGCTCCTGCTGCCGGCCCCTGCCACCAACACCATGGCGGGGGAACCCGGGGCCACGGGGAGGGGGCG